TACACACAGGGGAAGAACGATCCAAGATGGCAGATCGCTAACATCCCAGGATTGCAGCTCTCAGGGAAGGCGCGGAGAACTAGAGGACGCCACACTTTCAGACAAAGTCTGGTCGCTCACGGAGCAGAAGATCCCACAGTGGTGGAAACACACGAGTCGCCGGCGTGACTCTCGTGGCCGGCACAGCAGTTCTGCCGGCACCTCGACGCGGCAGCACTCGGCGCAGAGTAAACGAGACTGGTTCCCCTTCTGACCGAGGTTTGGAGCCCCGGGAAGGCAGAGTCGCCTACTACAGAAACAAGAAGGAAGCCCGACAGGAGAATCCTGGGCAGAAAAGAACCATCAGTTTTAACGCTGCTGCTCTGGCCCTGGGAACTAACAACCTGGACGTCCACTCAAGAGACCTAATCTGAAAGTTGGTAATTTCAAAGACGACAGGAGGATAAATTTACAATGATGGGAAGAAACCAGCATAAAAAAGCTGAGAATACTCAAAGTCAGAACGCCTCTCCCTCTAAAGATGATCACAGTTCCACATCGACAATGGAACAAGGCTTGATGGAGAATGAGCGCCTCCTGATGACAGAATCACTCTTCAAGGACTGGATAATAACAAACTTCGGTGAGTTAAAAGAACAAGTTGTAGCCCAACGTAAAGAAACTAGGAACTTTGAAAAAAGGTTTGATGAAATCCTATTGAGAATAGACAACTTAGAGAGGAGTATGAGTGAATTAATGGAACTGAAGAATACAATACAGAACTCCGAGAAGTATGCACAGGTTTAAACACTCGAATTGTTCAAACAGAAGAAGGGATATCAGAGGTCAAAGTCCAACTTAATGAAATAAAACGTGAAGAAAAGATTAGAGAAAAAAGGATAAAAAGGAATGAGCAAAGTCTCCAAGAAATGTGGGACTATGTGAAAAGACCAAATTTACGTTTGATAGGTGTACCTGAATGCGACGGAGAGAATGAATCCAAGCTGGAAAATACCCTTCAGGATATTATTCAGGAAAATTTTCCTAAACTAGCAAAGCAGGTCAACATTCAACCCCAGGAAATACAGAGAACACCACAAAGATATTCCTCAAGAAGAGCAACCCCAAGGCACATGATCGTTAGATTCACCAGGGTTGAAATGAAGGAGAGGATACTAAGGGCAGCCAGAGAGAAAGGTCAGATTACCCACAAAGGCAAGCCTATCAGACTTACAGCAGATCTCTCGGCAGAAACTCTACAGGCCAGAAGAGAGTGGGGGCCAATATTCAACATCCTCAAAGAACAGAACCTTCAGCCCAGAATTTCATATCCAGCCAAACTAAGCTTCACAACTGAAGGAAAAATAAAATCTTTTAGGAACAAGCAAGAACTCAGAGATTTTATTACCACCAGGCCTGCTTTACAAGAGCTTCTGAAAGAAGCATTACACATAGAAAGAAACAACCAGTATTAGCCTTTCTAAAAATACACCAAAAAGTAAAGGGCACCAACATAAAGAAGAATTTACACCAACAAATGGATAAAACAGCCAGTCAACATCAAATGGCAGTAACCCTAAATTAAAATTGACTGAATTCCCAATCAAAAGACACAGCCAAAACCCAATGGCATGTTACATCCAGACCCGTTTCACATGCAAGGATACACAAAGACTCAAAACAAAGGGATGGAGAAAGATTTACCAACCAAATGGAGAGCAAAAATAAATAATAAATAAATAAAAAGCAGGAGTTGCAATTCTTGTATCGGATAAAATAGATTTTAAAGCAACAAAGATATAGTGGTAAAAGGATCAATGCAACAACAAGAGCTAACGATCCTAACACCCAGATAGGAGACTAAGATTCAATGAGACAGAAAATGAATAAGGATATCAAGGACTCGAACTCAGATCCAGAACAAGTAAACTTAATAAATATTTATAGAGCTCTCCACTTCAAATACACAAAATATACATTCTTGTTAATACCACATCACACCTACCCATTAGTTTAAATGAAACATTGATTGGCCATTATTAATACCCAATTTTTTTCAAAATAAAGCAATATTTCCATTTACTCTCCCTCTTTCTCTTCCTCTTTCTTCCTCTCCTTTACTTATTTTTTTTTTTTTCTTTCCTTCTCTCAAAAAAAAAAAAAGAAATCAACTTGTAAACCTCTAGATCCAGGTCGGCAATGTCTCTTTCATTGCTTGATTTCCTTTCTTCCCTTCCCTCCCTCCCTCCCTCCCTCCCCGCTTCCTCCCTTCCTTCCTTCCTTCATCCCTTCCTTCCTCCCTACCGTCCTTATTCCCTTCCTTCCTGCCTTCCTCCCCCCCCCAAAAAAAAAAAAAAAAGGACTACACACAGAAAGGAACAACCAGTATCAGTCATCCCAAAAACTTACCAAAAGGTAAAGAGTATCTCCATAATGAAGAATGTATATCAACTAATGGGCAAAATAGCCAGCTAGCATTAAATGACAATATTAAACTCACAAATATCAATATTAATCCTAAATTTAAATGGATTAAACGCCCCAATCAGACACAGACACGCAAACTGAATAAAAAGTCAAAACACATCGGCACTCTGTATCCAGATCCATCTCATAAGCAAGGACACACAAAGACTCAAAACAAAAGGTTGGAGGAAGACTCGCCAATCAAATGGAGAGAGAGAAAAAAAAAAACAGGAGTTGTAACTTTCGTCTCTGACAAAATAGACTTTAATAGTAACAAAGACTAAAAGAAACAAAGAAGGACATTACATAATGGTAAAAGGATCAATGTAACAATAGGAGTCAATTATCATAAATATATATGCACCCAATATAGGAACACCCAGATACATAAGACAAGTTTTCAAAGACATACAAAGAGACTTGGACTACCGCACAATAATAATGGGAGACTTTGACACCACATTGTTAATATTCGACGGATCAACAAGATAGAAAATTAACAGGGACATCTATGATTTGAACTCAGACCTGGAACAAGTAAACTCAATGAATATTTATTGAATTCTTCACCCCAGGTCCACAGAACATACATTTTTTTAGTATCACATTACACCAATTTTGAAAGTGACCACATAAATGGAAGCAAATCACTCTTCAGCATTTGCATAGCATTTCACAGGTTTAAATGAAATACTGGTTGGCTGTTTGTTATTTTCTTTCCTTATTCCTTCCTGTCTCCACTGTTAAGCACAATTATCGGCATAAAAGAGGTTTTTAATATCTACTTTTAGATTGCATTCCAGCCTGGGCAATAGAGCAAGACTCCTGTTCTCTCTCCCCCTTTTCTCTTTCTCTTTCTTTCTTTAAAAAAAAAAAAATACAAACATTAGCCCAGGCATGGTGGCACACGCCTGTGGTCCAGCTACTCTGGAGACTGAGGCAGGAGAATCACTTGAACCCAGGAGGTGGAGGTTGCAGTGAGCTGAGATCACACCACTGCACTCCAGCCTGGGTGACAGAGCGAAACTCTGTCTCAAAAACAAAAATCGTTTTTTAAATACAATTCAAATAATACAGGCATCCAGGAAGCCAGAGTGAAAATCTTCACCTCTCCAAGCCCACTCCTCCCAGAGGCAGATACCACCACTCTGGTATGGGCCCTTCCAGGTTTTTTTCTATTTACAAGCACAGAGGCAGTCTAGAGATCCTCCAAGGTCCCTTTGCCTCTCTGGATGTGACAGATTGGCTCAAACCTCCATCTCCATGAACCATGGGAAGTCCAAAGTTGCCTCCATATTTATTTCAGTCCTAAGAAAGGCAAGGCATGGGTGGGGGGTCTGTGTCGTGCCTCCTCACCTCCAGACCTTTGGTTCTGCTCTTTCCTCCCTTCTCTCTGACCCAGATAAGAAGCTCAGCCCCTTTCCAGATTCTATCTGAAAACATGCTCACTGAGCATTGGTGAGTCAAGTAGACTTTGCAGGAATTTTTTTTTTTTTTTGTAAACTGTGCTGCAATGAACATTCGTGTGCATGTGTCCTTATAGTAGAACAATTTATAATCCTTTGGATATATACCCAGTAATGGGATTGCTGGGTCAAATGGAATTTCTATTTCTAGGTCCTTGAGGAATCACCACTGTCTTCCACAATGGTTGAACTAATTTACACTCCCACCAACAGTGTAAAAGTGTTCCTATTTCTCCATATTTATTGTTTTGAGACAGGGTCTTGCTTTGTCATCAAGGCTGAAGTGCAGTGGCATGATCACAGCTTACTGCAGCCTCTACCTCCCAGGCTCAAGTGATCCACTTGCCTCAGCCCCTCAAGAAACTGAGACTACAGGAGCATGCCACCACACTTAGCTCTAAATTCTTTTTATTTTTTTTGAGACAGAGTTTCGCTCTTGTTACCCAGGCTGGAGTGCAATGGCGTGATCTCGGCTCACCGTAACCTCTACCTCCTGGGTTCAGGCAATTCTCCTGCCTCAGCCTCCCTAGTAGCTGGGATTACAGGCGTGTGCCACCATGTCCAGCTAATTTTTTGTATTTTTAGTAGAGACAGGGTTTCACCATGTTGACCAGGATGGTTTTGATCTCTTGACCTCATGATCCACCCACTTCGGCCTCCCAAAGTGCTGGGATTACAGGCGTGAGACACCGTATCCAGCTAAATTCTTAACTTTTATTTAATTTTAATTTAAATGTAAAATCAAAAATTTGGTTTTTTTCATTGAGACACAGTCTCACTCTGTTGACCAGGCTAAAGTGCAGTGGTGTGATCGTGGTTCACTACAACCTCCTGCTTCCGTGTTCAAGCGATTCTCCTGCCTCAGCCTCCCAAGTAACTGGAACTAAAGGCATGTGCCACCACATCTGGCTAATTTTTGTATTTTTTAGTAGAGATGGGGTTTTACTATATTGGACAGGCTGGTTTCGATCTCCTGACCTTATGCCACCTCGGCCTCCCAAAGTGTTGCAATTACAGGCGTGAGCCACTGTGCTCAGCCAAAAAATATCTATTAAACACAACTATAGGCAGGGCGTGGTGGCTCACGCCTGTAATCCCAGCCCTTTGGGAAACTGAGGCGGGTAGATCAGCTGAAGTCAAGAGTTCGAGACCAGCCTGGCCAACATGGTAAAACCCCATCTCTACTAAGAAACACAAAAATTAGCTGGGTGTGGTGGTGAGTGCCTGTAGTCCCAAGTCTGAGGTCATAAGCAGGGCCACAGGTGGGACAATGAGAGACATAAGCTGGGGGTGGGGCTTGGCTGGAAGGCATTGAAGAGACCATAAATAGCGGGCAGGAGAGGGCTGGTTTGTCACAGCAGCAGTGCCTGGTGGCAGTGGCCCAACAGGCTGAAGGAGGCATGTGGGATAGGACTGAAGTTTGGAGAGGAGGCTGCATGAAAGGTGCAGCACATGGTAAGGCCAGACACCAAGTAGAAGCACAGCAGGAGCCCCTGTGAGCCAGGCCCTTTGCTAACAAACCTCTAACAGGCATTTGGTCAGCCAGCCAGTCACTCAATAAATACAGGCTGAGTGTCTATGAGGCACCAATCTCAAGTCAACAACCTCAGAAGAGCTAACAGCCTAAGAGGGTTTTTCCCACACATTTTACAGCTGAATAACATGGGGATCAGAAAAGTGAAGTGACTTAGCCAAGGTAAATTAGTGAGGTAGTGGAGATCTGAATGCACCTGAAGCCACCTGGTTCCAGAACCCTTACCACCTGGGCCTGCCTTTGTGCTCCGACTTTCTCTCTCTGGCCATCCCGAGTCTACTGGAGGTTGGGGTGGAGTTGGGTCTATAACTAGCTACTAAGCTGCAGTTGCAGGCAGGCTCTGGCCCAGCATGGGAGATGCGAGGAGAGGGGTGACCCTCATTCCTGAATTTCTGGTTTGCTTTTTTGTTTTGAGACAATATCATTCTGTTGCCCAGGCTGGAATTCAGTGGTATGATCTCAGCTCACTGCAACCTCTGCCTCCCAGGTTCAAGCAGTTCTCCTGCCTCAGCCTCCCAAGTAGCTCGGATTACAGGCGCCCACCAGTACGCTCAGCTAATTTTTTGTATTTTTAGTAGAGGCGGGCTTTTACCATGTTGGCCAGGCTGGTTTTTGTAGTTTTAGTAGAGACAGGGTTTCGCCACGTTGGCCAGGCTGGTCTTGAACTCCTGACCTCAGGTGATCTGCCCGCCTTGGCCTCCCAAAGTACTGGGATTACAGGCATGAGCCACCGTGCCCGGCTGTTTTTTTTCTGTTTGTTTGTTTTGAGACAGAGTCTCTGTCGCCCAGGCTGAATGCAGTGTCGCAATCTTGGCTCACTGCAACCTCCACCTCCCTGGTTCAAGCAATTCTCTTGCCTCAGCCTCCCCAGTAGCTGGGATTAGAGGCATGTGCCACCGTGCCTGGCTAATCTTTTTATTTTTAGTAAAGATGGGGTTTCACCATATTGGCCAGGCTGGTCTCAAACTCCTGACCTTAAATGATCTGCCCGCCTTGCCCTCCCAAGTTCTGGGATTACAGGCATGAGCCACCACAGCTGGCCTCATTCCTGGGTTTCTAAGGGAGTTAAGTGCATATCTTAGAGTTGGAAGAAGAGCATTGTGAATCTCCTGGTGAAGGAAATGTTCCCAACCTACCTACAGAGGGTTGGACAGCATGCTAGAGGCATAGTGGGAAGAGCCTAGGCTCAGGTTCTAATTCTGGCTCTGTCCCTGACTGTGTGACCTTGGGCAAGTCACCTCTCCTGAGGCCTGACTTCCTCATCTATTGAATGAAGATTGTAGGAAATTGTATTTCCTCTTATCTTCAATTACAGGCCAGAGCAAAGAAGAACCTCTACTTCCTCATGCCTACCACCGACCAGTCAGAGAAACAGTGGACCCTGACGGAGCAGAGAGGCTTCCGGAAGGTAAGCAAAAGCACTCAGAGCTTCTGCCCCTCATGCCCGGACTATGCCCTCTCTCTCCCGGGTTGTGACCATGCTGTCTCTGTGGTCTCCCCTCAGCCTCTTCCCTGTCCTACCATTTTTGCAAGATGACACTTAAACGTTTAGTTCACTCAACAACTATTTATTGAACCCTCTTCTCTGTGCCATGTCAAGTCCTAGGTGCTGGGGACACAAAGACAAGCAAAACAGGCAGGTTCCTTCGCTTGTGAAGCCTACACTCTATGGGGAAGTCTGACATTCAACACAGAACCCCACCAATGGCTGCACAACTGCAGACTGAGGTAAGAGTGCTGCAGGAAAAGAGCAGGTGTAAGAATTTGACTGTGGCCTCCTGAGGCCAAGACAGGCATGTGGAGTGGCCAGGGTGAAGGAGTGGGGCCAGGGAAAGGAAATGTGAGGCAGAGGGAAGTGCTTGAGTGGGGAGGTCAGAGTGGGGGGTGTGGTGGGAGACAGGCCAGAAAGTGGAGGGGCCTGATGACACAGGAAAGGATCTGCTGTCACCTGGTCATTCCCCTGCTTCCACACTCACAGCCCTCAGAGCATCCAGTCATCCTGGACTCCTCTTCCTCACCTACCATGCTCATTCCACAAGCATTTTGTACAATGTCTGTGGTGGCCAGGGACCATGTTAAGCTCTGGGTATGGGAACATCAGGGAACAAAATGGACATGGTGCCTGTCCTCCTGGAGGTCACAATCTCTCTAAACCCTAAATGGCTCCTTCTAGCTTTATAGCCATGACCTTTCCAACTGACCCCTCCCTCACCTTGATCTCAGTGGCTTCCTCACTGTCTCCCACAGTCCCTGCTTGTTCCTGGACAATCTCTTCTCTGCACAGCAGCACGATGCATATTTTATCTATCTATCTATCTATCTATCTATCTATCTATCTATCTATCTATCTATCTATTTATTTTTGAGTCAGGGTCTGGCTCTGTCGCCCAGACAGGAATGCAGTAAGACACATATTTAAAGACACAAATCTGCATTTCTCAAGTCTGAGTCATCCTGCCTGTTCTCATCTTGGCCCCCTATTTGTTTCCTTTATAGCTCTCACAGTCTGTAATCACTAATCTGTGTATTGGTTTAGGCAAGAATAGAGGCTCTGCAAATTATGGTAGATTGAACATACACATTCAATTTCACTCCCTCCCAAAACCTTGCTGGAACTACAGTAAAGACATTCTGTTTAAGGCATAAGCCCACTAACATGGGGAGGAGACCAGAGGGCAGCATTTGGAAACTGAGAAGCAGATGGTCAGGTGGTCATCACACAGCAAACCCATGAAAACTGTACCCTAAACTGGATGTGGGGAAGAGAAGAACCCATCCAGTCCAGATCACAGGCTCCCCCAAAGGCTCAGGCACCTGTTTATGAGGGTGAGGAGGAATAAAATAAGGAGGAGTTAGATGCTGCTGTTTAAGGGTGAAAATTTTTAGGTCCCTGGGTGGCTTCCCTAATCCTGGCAGAACACTGGAGGTTTCTTCTCTGAGAGGAGAAAACAGGATCACTGGACTGAGAGATCATAAGGGCAGGGGTATCCTCCCCACATCAGGTGACGAAGCGAACACACACACTGTGAATGCTGAGACCCCATGCCAATGCTGTTTCCCAAATTGGCTATCAGAGAGCTGGCCACCATGGCTTTGCTCCCTAGGCAGGAGAACAGGAAGTTTTGTCTAAAGGAAATCTGACCAGGCCAAGAGGAAAGACCTACTGTTAACATCATCAGAGATATAAGAGAAGATATTCCATCTATGATGCAAGAAGAGAATGTTATTTTGTTTATTTATTCTTTGGAGACAGCATCTTGCTCTGTTGCCCAGGCTGGAGTGCAATGGCACCAACTCGGCTCACTGCAACTTCCGCCTCCCAGGTTCAAGTGATTCTCTTGCCTCAGCCTCCCAAGTAGCTGGGATTACAGGCACATGCCAACACAGCCAGCTAATTTTTGTATTTTTTTTAGTAGTGACGGGGTTTCACCACGTTGGTCGGGCTGGTCTCGAAATACTGACCTCAGGTGATCTGCCCGTGTCAGCCTCCCAAAGTGCCGGGATTATAGGCATGAGCCACCACATGCTGCCGAAAAGGATGTTATTTTAGAAAGAAACAGTTGGCTGGGCATGGTGGCTCACACCACGTTCGAAACCAGTCTGAGAACATGGTGAAAAATACAAAAATTGTCTCTACAAAAAAATACAAAAATTAGCCCGGCATTATGGTATGCGCCTGTATCTCAGCTACTCAGAAAGCTGAGGCAGAAAAGTCGATTGAGCCTGGGAGGTCCAGGCTTCAGTGAGCCAAGATGGTGCCACTGCACTCTGGCCTGGGCAACAGAGCAAGACCCTGTTTCAATAAAAAATAATAACGGCTGGGTGCAGTGGCTCACGCCTGTAATCCCAGCCCTTTCGGGGGCCAAGGCAGGTGGATCACAAGATCAAGAGATCAAGACCATCCTAGCCAATATGATGAAAATCCATCTGTGCTAAAAAATACAAAAATTAGCTGGGCATGGTGCTGCGCACCTGTAGTCCCAGCTACTCGGGAAGCTATGACAGGAGAATCACTTTAACCCAGGAGGCGGAGGTTGCAGTCAGCTGGGATCATGCCACTGCACTCCAGCCTGGCAACACAGTGAAACTCCATCTCAAATAATAATATTTTTTTAAAATTGGTCCTTGCTGGGCATGGTGGCTCAAGCCTATATCCCAGCACTTTCAGAGGCTGAGGTGGGCGGATCACCTGAGGTCAGGAGCTCAAGACCAGCCTGACCAACATGGTGAAACCCCGTCTGTAGTAAAAATACAAAATTAGCCAGGTGTGGTGGCTGGTGCCTATAGTCCCAGCTACTTGGGAGGTTGAGGCAGGAGAACTCGGGAGGTGGAGGTTGCAGTGAGCCAAGATCATGCCATTGCACTCCAGCCTGGGCAACAGAGAGAAATCCCGTCTCAGAAAAAAAAAAAAAAAAAGGCTTTAAAAAATTTTTTAAGAAAATTCCCAGAACTGAAGGACATGGGTTTCCATGTTGAAAGGTACCTGCAAGTGCTAAGTGTGACGGATGAATATAGTTCCATAGCAAGGCCACCATCATGAGATGTCAGGGTATACCCTGGGGACAGAGAGAGCATCCTACCGCTTCCAAAGTAGAAAAGAAATTCCATACTAAGCACCAGGAGGCAGGATGACTTTGGACTTCTCTATAATAACACTAAAGGAACATAATCTCCAGCCAGAACTTTCCATCACACTTCCTATGTGCCAGGCACTGTTCTAAGGCTTTTTCATATATTCTCTACCCAGCCAAATTATTAGGCGTGAGGACAGAATGAATAAGTCTGCAGATATTCACAGTCTCAAAACTGTCACCTCCCACACCCTCTTTCCAAGAAACTACTGGAGTAGGTGGTCCACCAAAAGAATGGAGCAAAATCAAGAAAGAGGAAAAGAAATCCAACAAGAAGAGAGGTGAGGAGAACCCTGAAGTGATGATGAAGGAGAGCCCAGGGTCAGAGGTGGACTCACTGTGAAGCCCCAGAAGCCTCATCAGGTTCCTGCACTTCCACAGGCCCCTGGAATGAGTGCATGAGTACTGGGGTTGTAGCAGGTCCTAGGCAGAAGCCAGGCTGCAGGCCAGACTGCCTGAGACCTCAGAAGAGAGGTTCCTGAGCTGCCAAGGGACCTGAAAAGCCAGGAATTTACTGATTTATCGTATCAAAATAAATAAAATATACCTAATTTTTTCTTTTCTTTCTTTTTTTTTTGGTCAATCAATGAGAGCATGTAACATTGGTCAGGTTGGCCTTGAACTCATGGCCTCGCCTCCTCAAGCGCCAGGACAACTGGCCAGAGCCACCATGGCCCCCCCTTTTTTTTTTTTATTGAGATGGAGTTTCGCTCTTGTTGCCCAGGCTGGAGTGCAATGGCGCGATCTCAGCTCACCTCAACCTCTGCCTCCTGGGTTCAGGCAAATCTCCTGCTTCAGCCTCCTGAGTAGCTGGGATTACAGGTAAGCGTCACCGTGCCCAGCTAATTTTTTGTATTTTTAGTAGAGATGGGGTTTCACCATGTTAACCAGGATGGTCTCGATCTCTTGACCTTGTGATCTACCTGCCTCGGCCTCCCAAAGTGCTGGGATTACAGGTGTGAGCCACCGTGCCCGGCCCTTTTTTTTTTTTTTCTGAGACGGAGTTTCGCTGTTGTTACCCAGGCTGGAGTGCAATGGCACCATCTCGGCTCACTGCAACCTCCGCCTTCTGGGTTCAAGCAATATTCCTGCCTCAGCCTTCCGAGTAGCTGGGACTACAGGCACGCGTCACCATGCCCAGCTAATTTTTGTATTTTTACTAGAGACGGGGTTTCACCTTGTTGACCAGGATGGTCTCGATTTCTTGACCTCGTGATCCACCCGCTTCGGCCTCCCAAAGTGCTGGGATTATAGGCGTGAGCCACCGTGCCCAGCCTCTTTTTTTTTTTTAAGGACCAGACACACTGGCTCACACTTGTAATCCCCGCACTATGAGAGGCCAAGGCAGGAGGATGCTTGAGCTCAGGAGTTCTAAGCCAGCCTGGCCAACATGGTGAAACCCTATCTTTACTAAAAATGCAAAAAACTAGCTGGGTGTGGTAGTGCATACCTGTGATCCCAGACACTCAGGAGGCTAAGGTGGGAGGACTGCTTAAGCCCAGGAGTTTGAGGCAGCAGTGAGCAGAGATCGCACCACTGAGATGCTGTCTTAAAAAAAAAAGGCCAGCAGTGGGTCACACCTGTAATCGCACTTTGTGAGGCTGAGGCAGGCAGTTCACTTGAGGCCTGGAGTTAAGAGAACAGCCTAGCCATCATGCTGAAACCTCATCTCTACTAAACATACAAAAGATTAGCCAGGCGTGGTGGTGCACGCCTATAATGCCAGCTACTTCGGAGGCTGAGGCATGAGAATCCTTTGAACCATGGAGGTGGAGGTTGCTGTGAGTCAAGATCCTGTCACTACACTCCAGCCTAGGTGACAGAGCCAGACTGTCTCAAAAAAAAAAAAAAAAAAAAAAAAAGACTCAAAAAAGTAAAAAAAAATTTTTTACTTTTTTGAGACAGAGTCTTACTCTGTCACCAGGCTGGAGTGCAGTGGCGCAATCTCGGCTCACTGCAACCTCCGCCTGGGTTCAAGCGATTCTTCCGCCTCAGCCTCCCGAGTAGCTGGGACCACAGGCGTGTGCCACCACACCCGGCTAATTTTTGTATTTTTAGTAGAGACAGGGTTTCACCATGGCCAGGATGGTCTTGATCTCTTGACCTCATGATCTGCCCGCCTCAGCCTCCCAAAGGGCTGGGATTACAGGTGTGAGCCACCACACCTGGCCTAGTAAAAACTTTTTTCTAAGAGACAAGGCCTCACTCTTTCACCCAGGCTGGAGTGTACTGGTGCAAACACTGCTCAATACAGCCTTGACCTCCTGAGCACAAGCAATCCTCCTGCCTCAACTTCCACCACACCCAGCTAATTTTGGATTGAGTGATTGATGGTAGAAAGGGGAGCTTGTTGGCTGGGCACAGTGGCTCACACCTGTAATCCCAGCACTTTGGGAGGCCAAGGCGGGCAGATCATGAGGTCAGGAATTGGAGACCAGCCTGGCCAACATAGTGAAACCCCGTCTCTACTAAAAATACAAAAAATTAGCCCAGCATGGTGGTGGTCACCTGTAATCCCAACTGCTCGGGAGGCTGAGGCAGGAGAATCACTTGAAACCAGGAGGTGGAGGTTGCAGTGAGACTCCACCTTAAAAAATAAACAAATACATAAAAAAGAAAGGAAGGGGGTCCTCCCAGAACTTTGGGAGGCTGAGGCAGGCAGATCACAAGGTCAGGAGTTTGAGACCAGCCTAGCCAACATAGTGAAACCCTGTCTCTACAAAAATTAGCCAGGGGAGGTGGCGGGTGCCTATAGTCCCAGCTACTCAGGAGGCTGAGGCAGGGGAATCACATGAACCCAGGAGGTGGAGATTGCAGTGAGCAGAGATTGCACCACTGCACTCCAGCCTAGACAACAGAATAAGACTGTCTAAAAAAAAAATAAAATATATTAAAAAAACATAAAAGTGATAGAATATTGATGTGGTAGTCATGGAGATAAGCCTCCCAGCCACCCCGTTCGAGTAAGAGCCTGCTGCCCAGATGCAGGAAGACAGCTGTCAGCTCCAGAGCTGGCCTCAGATACAGATACCCACCTCAGCCAAGGTCACATCCTTCCCCAGGGCAGCCCCCATCAGGTGACTGAGCCAGTCAATGGTATAAAGGCCTGGCCATTCCAGCCAGGCTTGGCCTACTCTGATGGGAAAAACTCACTCCAAAGCTCCCTGCTAGGTTGGCCTAGGCTTTGCCAGGCCTCCTCTGTAGTTTGACTTCTGCTCTAACCTGCTTCTGCCCACTTCCTTTCACAGGTGTCGATCCCTACAAACCTCTCCCTCTCCATACCTTCCAGAGAGACCAACCTGAGATACCTGATTTGTCTGACCGTCTTCCATCTTTTTTTGTACTGACTATGCTAGGCACTTATGGAGCATTTTATATTCATGATGTTACTGAATTCTCATCATAATCCTCTAAGGGTAGGCACTATTATTCTCATCTAACAGATGAGGAAATTGAGATTCAGAGAGGTTGACTAACCTGTCCAAAGTCACACAGTTAGCTAAGGATTGAATCTCTTTTTCATTTTTTTCTGAGACAGAGTCTTGCTCTCTATCACCTAGGCTGGAGTGCAGTGGTGTGATCTCGGCTCACGGCAACCTCCACTTCCAGGGTTCAAGCGATTCTCCTGCCTCAGCCTCCCGAGTAGCTGGGACTACAGGTGCGCACCACCATGCCCAGCTAATTTTTGTATTTTTAGTAGAGATGGGGTTTCACCTCGTTGACCAGGATGGTCTCCATCTCTTGACCTCGTGATCCACCCGCCTTGGCCTCCCAAAGTGCTGGGATTATAGGTGTGAGCCACCACGCCCGGCGCTAATTTTTTTTTATTTTAGTAGAGATTAGGTTTCACCATGTTGCCCAGGCTGGTCTCGAACTTCTGAGCTCAGTCAATCTGCTCGCCTCAGCCTCCCAAAGTGCTAGGATTACAGATGTGAGCCACCATGCCTATCTCTGAACATCTTGAGAAGACATTTAGATAGCTAGTGGGGAGTGAAATACACTAAGCAAGTGACAAAACAGGACAATTATGAGCTGCAGGGAAAACAAAAAGTTGCAGAGGAAAGGAATCACAGCGCCACAGAATAATGTAAACAATGAAAATTGAACAAAAAATTATGTTGGCAGTTTAGGAAGATGGGGATCATGTGTATGGCTGGTGAAAGGAAGAGTTAAAACTATCTTCCTCCAGCCTGGGCAACAAAAGTGAGATGCCACTTCTACAAAAAACAGAAAAAAATATTAGCCTGGCATAGTGGTGCACATATGCTGTCTCAGTTTCTCCAGAGGCTGAGCTGAGAGGATCACTTGAACCAGGAAGGTCGAGGCTGTAGTGAGTCATGGATGGCACCACTGCACTCCAGCCTGGAAAAAAGTGAGACCCTGTCTCAAAAAAACCCCAAAAATAAAACTATTTTCCAGCTGGGCGAGGTGGCTCATGCCTATAATCCCAGCACTTTGGGAGCCTGAGGGGGCAGATCACAAGGTTAGAAGATCAAGACCATCCTGGCTAACATGGTGAAACTCCGTTTCTACTAAAAATACAAAAATTAGCTGGATGTGGTGGTACATCCTGTAATCCCAGCTATTTGGGAGGCTGAGGCAGGAGAATTGCTTGAACCTGGGAGGCAGAGGTTGCAGGGAGCCAAGATCACACCACTGCACTCCAGCCTGGGCAACAGAGCAAGACCGTCTCCCAAAAAAAAAAAAAAAAAAGAAATTCAATTTATTGCTAGCTGTGTGACTTTGGACAGGTTAATCAACCTCTCCAAATCTCAATTTCCTCATCTGTTAGATGGGAATTATAGTGCCTACCCTTAGAAGATTATGGTGAGAATTCAGTAACATCATGAATATAAAACACTCCGTAAGAGCCTAGCATAGTCAGCCCTCCTTACAGTTACCTGTTGTCTTCAATAACCACAAATACAAGAGGGATTTCCCTACTTATTCACCTTTGTATGCTTGCCTCCTCCAGTGGTGCTGCCTCATAGTTAGGTGCTTAGAAAAGCTGGCTGGGAGGCTGGACGTGGTGGCTCACGCTTGTAATCCCAGCACTTTGAGAGGCCAAGGCGGGTGGATCGCTTGAGGCCAGGAGTTCAAGACCAGCCTGGCCAACATGGCAAAAACCCATCTCCACTAAAAATACAAAAATTAGATGTGTGGTGGCTAGTGCCTGTAGTCCCAGCTATTTGGGAGGTTGAGGCAGGAGAATTGCTTGAACATGGGAGGTGGAGGCTGCAGTAAGCGGAGATCATGTTGTGCACTCTAGCCTGGGCAGAGTGAGACTCTGTCCACCCCCCTTCCCCCCCCAAAAAAAATAAAATAAAAGCTGTTTGGGGCTGGGTACGGGGTCTCATGCCTGTAACCCCACAACTTCGGGAGGCCAAGACGGGAGGATTGCTTGAGGCCAGAGTTTGAGACCAGCCTGGTCAACAGAGAGAGACCTTATCTCTATTTTTTTAAAAAACAACACAACAAAAAAAAGCTGGTTGGTAATAGGGAGGCCTGGCTGCTTTTGGGAAGGAATTATAATCCTCGTTGACACCGGGTGATTCAGTGAGCAGGGTGGAGGCAGATGCTGGGTGTCCAAG